GAAACAAACTGAGATCAACTCTGAATAGAGGTAAGCGAGAAGGTAAGATCAAGCAATTGTATCATAGGAGTAGGACTAAAATGTGGTTACCAAGGAGAAAAAGGTCAATTCTATGTTCTTTTTTGTAAAATCATGTAAAGACCCTTTATTTAAAGTATCCAATTGTATTGAAATATGCTTATAACTGTAATGACGTCATGCTATTTATGGCTGACAATAATTCAGGAAACTAATTTGTTTCCTTTTAAAATGGCAGTGCTATTATTTTATTAATATCCAATAAACGTCTATTTTGTATAAAATTTAAGGTTATTCAAATGTATTTTCTCAAGATTTTTCAAAATTTATTTATTCAGTTTACTTTAAAGAAGTCAGTGTGAAACATTTAAAAATCTAGTATGATTAAACGGGTATAACACAATATTTTTAAACGTAAATATCGGCCGAATTATTGAAATAATGTCAAATTTATTTTGAACTTCTCCCGAATAACCTTTTAAGATAATCTGAAATATATGGAATGAAGCTAAGTTTCGAGACCAAAGTTAGTGAGAAGAAATTTAGGGAGAGACAGATACAAAAATACATTCGGCCTAGTTTAGCGTGAGAAAAGAAATCGTGCTCTAACTAATCAACTGGTACACCAAATCAGTATACTTCTGTTAAAAATAACCTGATGAAGCTAACCCAAATTGTTTACGATGTATTTCGTGGATGTAATCCTGACGTAGTTTTTGGCATTTCGATGCCACACTGAACTAAAAGCATAAATTGTAACTCTGTAGCCTCCTCGTGTTCTGTTGTGTAGTTTAAGGCTGAGACTGATCAGTTTACAAATGAATGGGTTCGTTTGTATAATGTAAAAATATTTACAAACAAATTTACTGGAAATAAACTCACTTCTTCTGACCTGCCGCGACGCAAATTTACTTCAGGACTTCTTGAAGCGTCTCCATTAGAGTTGAGTCCGCTATGGTATAAAATCAATTTGAACTGTATCTTACAGGGCTGAGTTCTTCTGATTATATATCGAGTCAACCAGTAGTTTAGCATCATCTTTCGTTTCGCAACTAAAGACGTGAACTTCAGAATCTTTAAGCTCGAGATCTGCATTATACTGTGAGCACCGAAAAAGTATAAGATATCCATACTGGAAGTCATCCGACCGTTTGAAAATTGCTGCTTGGTCGCTTATGGAAGACCATTCGAAAAATTCCACGACCTCCTTGAACATATGTTAGTACGAGGTTTATATATTTACCTCCGAAGAATTTAATTCAATTAAAATTCCTTTCTTATCTAGTCTGACTTTACATGGTGTCTCGTCAATACGACCTCCTCTATGTAATAAGCTTATATGGTGAACAACACTAGAGGCTGTAAGTTTTTCTTCCCCTTCAATGAAACTTGCAATGTGATGCGCTTTGAAGGAGAGCTCTTCTCTATCATTGATAAAAGTTTAACAAGTAATTTATAGATTTCTTTACTTATTAGAATCCCTGTTCCTCATCTCCTTAACAAATCAATTTGCCTCACCTCTCAGATAAAGCAATTAGACTAATAAAACGCAATCATGATGATCATTCAATTTTGACTAGTAAAAGTAAATAGGTCCTGTTAACATATGATGAGACGATTTCATTGGTTGGAATGACGGTAAAATCGATGGTTTGTCTTGCATTCAGTAACTAATTTGTCAAAATGGTTTTAAGTTCTGAGGGGAAGAACTGGTAGTTTTTCATATCCGAGCTCGTTGTCATGCAATATGAATGTTATAGTCAGATCACACGAATTACTCCTAGATATGTTTACTACAAGTCTGTATAAAACGATTGATTTCGTTCACTCGCCTATTAATGTTCCCGTATAGTTCCAGGTGTTTAGTGAAGTTCAATGGGAGGTGGTTAGGCAACTCAACTGCATTGGTCGTGATCAGTGAAGTAATTTTTTTTCGGATCTGTATATCTCATAATCTGACTAAGAGCATCCGTCTCAGAGCAGGAGGGTTTCTGTTACCAGTAGCTATCACAGTACAAGATAGGAAGTTATTTAGTTTTAATGCCGAAAATAAAGCGAAAAATGAGCGGGTATGTGTTTTTTGAGTCTTTTCTTTAGGCCAGCCACTAATGAGCGTTGTGGTTTCTTCAGTTGGCACGGCATTTCGAATTGAGGGCAATCCCATATCAAAAAGTAGGCCTTTACGTAGGTTTACGCCCTCTGTCATGCAAATTTCCTGGGTCTGTTTCACAAGACGCGATGGTGATATTCTGTTATAACGTTCGTTTTGAGGTGACTTGGAGTATTTAGTATGTTGTGTACTATCATTAGGTGATCTCTTATCATTTTTAAGCTCAACCAGAATGATCCAGATTGTCGGAGATTTTCATGCCTCTTTAGAAGAGCGGGATTGTAACAAAGTTTTATACGTCAATGTGAGGCCTTCGGTGCTTTTTAAGGAATGTTAGGAACCATTCCGGGGCGACTGTATCAAGTTGTCTTCACATAAAGTGAAGGGCTATATTTACTTTGGCTTCATCCCCAATGTAATTTGAGTTAGTTTTCAAGCTTCATATGGTTAATAGTCCTAAATCGCGTCCTCATACAACAATTGAGAGCGGTTTATTATGAAAGACTAAGGTATTTTGTGTCTCGTAGGGCTAAATGCTCATAACACTATATGTTAACAAGCTACGTTTGGACCCATTATTCACCACTCATTTCCCTGTTGTTCTAAAGTCCTTTTAAAGATCAAGGCAATCTTTTTGTTTCTTATAGACCTCCCTGACATCTTCATAATATCTGAAAGCTAGCGTGCTGACTTTGTGTAAATGGTCATTAATTAGAATCCAGAAGAGGAGTGAACTTAAAAAGGCTTCATGTGAGACCCCTGGAAATGAAACTCTTTAGGATGGAAGCATTCTACTTACATTTATGAGGAAATTTTAGGAGCTAGGAGAGAGCTGGCCCAACGAAATCCATTTTCTCAATCTTCCATGCAAGTGAGTGTGGTGTCGAATCAGAGTCCGCGAACGGTTATCTTTTGATTACAGCAGGTTGTGCAGGTGTCTTATGATATGAGAAGATTGAGTGCATTTGGCTCTTCTGAGCCTGTGTTGAGCTTCGTGAGGTAAGTTGTTTTTTCTGTGGATTCCCTCATTTTGCCGACCATTAGTCCTTTCTCCACCCCCCAAAAGGTTGGATCGTTCCTACCGACCCTTAAGAAAATTTTGAAGGTCACCCTGATTACTGAATGCCTCAACGGATTTAATACCGCTGTGGTGGTAGATTCTGTCCGGTTTCATGATTATTGGGCGGACGTTGTGATTTTCCCGAGAATTCTAGTTCATTTTGCACTAGATTGCGAGTCAAGTGGATAGTTCGCAGACTGCCTGCGGGCATTAGAGTTGAAGATTATTCAGCATGTGTAGTTTCTTCGTTTAACTAAACAATGAAGTCGGAACTAGGGATTTCGGTCATTTCCATTTTGTTAAGTTCTTTATCGTTAGGCTTTTTGAAAGTACAATGTTCCTAGTTTATGGGTTTCCGTATGGAAATGAATTTACAGAAATGTTTTGGGTTGGCTTGTATTTTATCCCCTAGCTTGGTCTCCTGACGCTTTTTACTCTGATATTAGATCTATTTCTCCATGTCAAGTTAGAGTTGAGGTCAAAATCCTCTAAGGAAACTTTTCATCAGTGACAAGCTCTCGTTTTTGTATGTAGTGGGACTTCTTTACCTCACTCAAGCCAAAATACTTTCTTTTCACATGTGCTTTCTCCATTAGATACGTTGTGCACGACAGCCATTAGAATAAAACTTGTTGAGAGCTATCTTGAATTCATTGAGTCTATCAGTATCTCGAAGAAAGGCTGTATTGAACCTTTGTAGTGCTGTATGTCCAGTTCTTCTTTAGTTTCATTTTTAAATCGGCCACAACTAGGTGGTGATCTGAAGCTATGTCAGCACCTCTCCTGGTTCTCACATCTTCCATTGTCCTTCGGAATTTTTGTCGATGCAAATATGATCTATTTGGTTCTCTGCAGTGTGGTCCGGTGAGATCCATGTAGCCTTGTGTATACGCTTGTGTTGAAATATTGTGCCGCCTATGACCAATTTGTTGAATGCACATAGATTTGCAAATCTTTCTCCATTTTCAATCCTCTCTCCCAGTCAATCCATGTCGTCCCATAATATCTTCATATCCAGTGTTGTCTATTCCGACTTTGGCATTTAGATCTCCCATTAGGATGGTGAGGTCCTTTCTTGGGCATTTCTCTATGATTGACTGCAGCCGCTCGTAGAATTGATCTTTAATGTCGTCGTTGCTATCATTGGTGGGTGCATAACATTGGATAACATTAATCGTGATCCCCTCCTTTGTTTTGAATGATGCTTTGATGATTCTGGATCCGTGAGATTCCCATCCTGCAAGTGCATTCCGTGCTACTTTGGACAGCATTAGAGCGACTCCCTGAGTGTGTGGAGCATTTTCCTCTTCGTGACCGGAGTATAGCAGCATCTCTCCCGTAGCTAGCCTTTTCTGTCCAGCTTGGGTCCAGTGGGTTTCGCTGATTCCCAGTACTGCTAAGTTGTATCTCCTCATTTCCATTGCTATTCGACTGGTCTTCCCGGTCTCCCACATTGTTCGGACGTTCCATGTACCTACAAAAATTTTTGCTCTGGTTGTTAGAAGGGGCATCGGCCTCGTGGCTTCCGAAGGAACTCGGCTTTCACCATGAAGCGTCATAATTCTTCTAAATGAAGACCTTCTAACTCCCAGGGCAGAGTTAAAATGGTTTGGATTATTTTTTCTGGTAAGCGTTTTTCTAGCGAGTTAGTGTTCTACGTGATGGGGACGATAACCACATACCAAACCCTCCTACTTTACCCGGGATTGAGACCGGTAGCAACCATATAAGAGCTACAGGCGCAGTTTACAATTAAACTACATTACGAAATAAATGTTTGAGTACTCAGCTTTGAGTCAGATAGTATTTGTAGGTTACTTATAGATCAAAAATAACTTACCAGAGTCTGAACCTTCAACGACAGTCTCATTTCCTCGACGAGGGGCGGGGGCTTTTTCAGATCCATAGTACCCTACTGATACTTTCCCCACTCGTTGGACAGCTTGAACTGGAGTAACAATACCCCGACCGTCAGAACCAAGACCCTTGCCCGGTTCGTAACCCATCTGCTCTAAAAGTTTCATTCCAATACCCTTTGTGTGCCTTTCCCAAGCCCCGAAACCAGAGGTCGCAGACTTCGCCGCTGCAGCGGCGGCTGCTACACGTCGACTGGCCCCAACGGATATGCCCACAGGCTTGTCAGGTTTACGATAAATATCTGAATTTGGTGAGTCAGAGTCTGAATCATGATAAGGACGCAAACTCCTTAGGACAGATTTGTCGTCTTCATCATCCGAAATCTGGTCGACTTCTTCGTTATTTTCTTTCGGACCAGACGAAGCACCGGCACCTGCCTACAATGACAGAAAATACTTAGGACCTTCGAAAACACATTTTTACATGACAAACGAGACTTGCATATTAGTTGAATAAATGAACGAAACAAACATGAGACATAACAAATGCATGTTCTAGACAGCTATTATGCACAAAAATAATTGGCACATCTTCCGTACGACTGAACTACTTAATCATTTTGACAGTGCAGGTTTACTGCCAAAATATTAGCTAAACAATGGGTATATCTATCCCAGGCATCTTTACTGGAGCCTAATGAGTTCATACAACTTGAAATAATAAGAAGCAAAAAGGTGCTTTATAACTAAGCGGCAATGTAACTATTACAACCTCTCAGATGATCGCAACACTTAAGAATCTATTCACAGCATAGAATTGGGAACACTGAATTGTTAGCTCGTCGATGAATCTCATTATTTGTCACCTAGCCTTCCTTAACATAAATATACCCTACCTTCACTCCACCACTGACAAAGGTGATCGGTGCTGAATAATTGGCACCCTTACGCTTGAAACCAGCTTCACGTCCACCGAAGCCACTTCTTTCAGGCTCTGAATCAGAATCATCTGAGGCGAAAATCCCGTATATTGTTTGCTTCTTTGATTGGTTGTGGCGTCGTTTTAAAGGATCCATCATGAACGAATATTCCACATCAGACAAACCAAACCTCTCCATCTCTGGTGACGACCCCATAATTCCAATAAATCCGATGACTTCAAAACGCTGCGCCCGCCAGTTCGATTGTACAACATTCAATTTCAGTTCAAATCACTATCACTAGTGATGTAGGTCAAACGGTTAATAACAACAATGTCTGGTTCAATCTTGTCCCTAATATGTTTATGCAGAACGTGGAGTGAAATCCTAAGTGAAGACATTTCTTCATTTACTCTTCAATGTAGGATTTCACTTCAAAACGGTTAATACGTGGAAAAATCTAGGGATTCTTTTGCAAAATAAAAAGCCGACAACTGCATACACATATGCATAAATTGAGTAAATAAACTACTCGGAATTAAATAAAGCATTTTTGATGCGATAAAAACCTGTACAGCTCTCTGTTGAAACATATTTAGAGATACAAGTCATTGAATAGGTCCGACCTTACATTCATCATATAGTATATTTGCTAGATAAGATGTCACGGAGCTTTCATGCCCCTTTTGCGCGCATGTATTCTGGTGTATTCGCACCTCACTCTGTCAGAAGACATACGAGAGAGATATGAGTGAAGTAGATGGTTAGTGAGTCCTAACGCTTGTCAAGTGTTTGTAAAATTTTAGATGTCTATCCACAACCATATTATTAATGACGTCAAAAGATTCACCACACTCTCTGTTATCTACCTTCAGGACTTCCGGCCAACACGGTTAAATCATTTCTCCAAAGTGACGTGGAACAGCAATAAATAATAAATCATGTGCAAGAATTTACAAATCGTATTATAAATTTCAATTAATGCTTGAAGCATAGAGCATCGTTATATTATGAGTCAGACAAAGAAGCTCCTCCAATATCAGTGGATTAGGAAACGCTAGGGTAACGTCTTACAACAACATAAATGACCTATTTAACCCCATGGAATTTCAACAGGGTATTTTGGTTCTGTTCATATATGAGGCTAAAATTAACAATCTTGCATTTAAAAAGACTAAGAATAAGACTATTGACAACATACCATCTTTCAACGAGCGTCAAGAACTCATTCACCTCAAGGGAATGTAAATAGTTAGAAATCGTAGCAAATACAGTGTGGTCATCCGCACGCTTAAAAAACAAGTAGATGAGAAATGACAGCTCTTCATGGTAAACTTTTACTTAATAAAGACTTTGGACACTTTTCTCTAAGCACAATGTACTGTTCTCTCCCAGAGAGGTAAAAACAGAGCCAGTTGGTTATCTAGCTGTCACTGTTGACTCTGGCAAACTTGTTTATTAGTAATCGCCTTGGAATAGAGGCAAATGTACGATCCATAAATGAGCATCAAACATCTTACACTTTTCCATGCTGGACATTATAATATGGTGCAAAACAACAGCAGCATCTAAGGCATTTCTTTTCCATTTGTAAGCAAAATTATATGGGTCAATACCACTATTTTACCCAGGGTGGAGTGTAACTGGCAATAGTCTTGACAATGTTTTGAGAAAACGTGAAGTCATTGCCATGAGTCCAAAGTCTAAGTTCTTATCGCCAGATACATTCCTTGGCATTGGAACTATCTTTATTTCTATGAGACGAGAAGGATTCGTTAAAGATGCACATAAATAAATGACAACGTGAGCACACCTATTGAAAAAGGAGGTTTGGTACTTCCTGAGGTCTGATATATTATTTCATGAACCCAGGCCTTTGTCCAACGTAATCGATGGTGCGCTGTTGACAGACAGGAAAGCTCTCTGAGCAAAATCTCATATTTCGTTTACAACTATTCTAAACTTTTGAAAATTGGATAGGAATTGGGGATAAATGTTTCAGAATGCGTTTTCTGGGCCCTTGCACAAATTTTTCTTCTAGCATACGGTAAAAATGAGAACAAGCGGAAGCTAGAATTTAAAGTAGTTACCTGAAAGGTTTTACTCTCATCGTCCCTATACCTTTTGAATGGTGAGCCGAATAAATATGATCGACGTGGTCATGAATAGTTCGGAGGTCAGGCCAGTTACCGTCATGGGCGGAGATCTCATTATTCCAGATAAATCATTGGCTACGGAATTTTGATGACAGGCGACACGATGTGTATCACATGGAGTGTGTCCCCTCCTATAATAGAAAGTGTGTTAGTGAATTACCCAGATGATATGAAATCTATGTATTGCCACTGTTCAACATTAAGATTCTACGTTTATGCCATTAACATGGAGAACGTTTCTGATGGTCTAGTTATTACCCCGTTCATGTTCACTTGAAGAGTCGGGATGTCCGAAGGGTCTTGTGTCAAACATTGAACCCTAGTGCTATCCGCGTATCACAGTTTGATAATCCAGAAAATAGCCTCAGTTGTCGATAAACAACAAAAGGAGGAGTGGTGCAGTATGAAATCTAGTGCTACTTCGCTCATCATTGTTAATCAGTCAGACAAATCTGAACGAGCTCTGATGTTTCGTAATCTCTTCATCATATAGTGTCCAAAGGGATGATCATATAGTGTAGATTTTGTGCCTTAAATGAATTCTGTAAAACAGAACCGAACTGTAGAAAAACTATCAGTCACACCGATCGTACCTCTAAATTGGGGCTGATAACTGTTGAATAACAGTGAATATTAGTTTACATTGATTTCTGTTGGCTGAGTGACGACGTTTGGCCGAGGACGTCCTGTAATTACTTTTTTAACGCCCACGTAAATTCCGTCTTATTTGGAGAACATTGAAAAATTATAAGGTAAATCACATGATAGATGAGTCAGTGAAAGTTCGATTATTTTATATGCATCTGGAGGATGAACTGTTAACGCTTATTCGTGTATATCTTCATGTGTCTTTTGCAAGCATATATTGCATGTATAAGTGTAGTTATTTACTAGTTTACCATGTTTTTTTCATATATGTGTCTGACTGTCTATGTGTCATTACACATTTTAACTACTCCTTGTGTTCCGTGCTTCCTAATATGAATCGCGCTTAATAAGGTTCAGTAGGCTGATAAATACTTCTTCCATATGCACATATCCCATTAGTATTCGTGATTTGTCTTTCCACATATGAATGGTTGTAACAAGTCCTCGCACCCCGATTTTATCACCAACGCTGGATTTTGGGCTTAGCCTAGTTACAATGTATGAAGTCAATTAGTAACTACAGTTCAATACCATAACTCACCATCAACCATAGTCAACTAGGGTCTATAATAGGACACTAATTACTCACATTCCCGCCTCACTGTTTAATAGAGCACTCGACTTCAGCCACACACGTTACGATTTTGCTACCCGCTTAGTTACTCATTTATTTTCTTACTTAGAATATACCCAGTCTACTCCCTACGTTCCAGCAAATGCAATTTCTTTAGTTTCTACTCACAATTCTGCAGCCGTTTACACAATCTACATTGGTAATCTACCATAAATTCTCTGAGTGATACATATAATGCTGTTCATTTTTGTTTTCTTTCACAAACGTAGTTGGTAAAACATTTCCACATACTCTTTGAAATGGAGAAAAAATTCACCTTGCAATGATCGATGCTATATCAAACCTATAAAGGCTATTCTACCTTCTGGACTGACCGATTTCTTCACTCTTCAGAAGCTACTTAAGAAGTATCTCCGTAAGAAAAGATTCACCACACTCTCTGTTATCTACCTTCAGGACTTCCGGCCAACACGGTTAAATCATTTCTCCAAAGTGACGTGGAACAGCAATAAATAATAAATCATGTGCAAGAATTTACAAATCGTATTAGTAAATGTCATATAATGCGGATTTCATGTAGCATGTAATCATCTGGTTATGAAACTGTGTATTTCATTGGTTCGTTGGTCAATTTATGCATTCCCGTTAAAAACGTTTGATTGTCATTAATTCCGCAACTGCAAATTCCGGACATTCACATTTTCAGTTTTACGTGTCGGGCTGTGCTTCGCAACGTGTACAAAGCTGGTTTGTAAGCCTTAGAATACGCACAGAATAACTTGCACTTAATTGTTTCCTATTTTTGATGTAGATTCGAATTTTTAGGGCCAAAAGAACATAAAGTAAACATCTACAATACGTCATATGTCCGTTGTCTTGAGTTATTTAGAGGTCGTTATTGCTTGTAGGTTCATCCACATGTCACTAATAAATGTAAAATCATAATTATTGTAGTGTATTAGAATATGGTCCTATAATTTGGGAGCCATCTGCATAGGAAATACATTTGCTATTATTCACAAACGGCTTATTGGTATATAGGTTGTTTTGTCTGTGTTTGTAGAGTTTATTACGACAATGATCGGCCACTTGTATTGATGCTGAATATCCTCTTGTGTTAAGTGACGTCGGCATACAATATATTGGATAGATATCGTGCAAAAATCTTGAGGTAGGTTTTCACGAACTAGAGTGCCATATTGTTGATCTATCAGTATAATTTGACATTTGCTTACGAGGCCTTTATTGGAAACAGTAAATGAGGACCATCAAGATGAAACACTAGATGAGTAGTTTCCTAGTTTCGTGGTACTGGTGAACCAGGAAATGATGTAAACCCCTGCAACAATAAATGGTATTATAGCTAGTACTAGTGACATGAATGTGCTGTTTCAAGATAGCTCTATCCATTTGCGAATTCTGCGATAAAATCTACCACTTATACTGTAGTATGGAATAACCTTATGTAGCGTAAAACACTGACTGGTCTCTGCTAGCCTACCATTAAAAACATAAAAGCACTAAAAGACCATTTCATTATAGTGTGAGACTTCTCAGAAGTGCATACTGACGACATTGCACCTGCAAAATCAAACACACAGTCTTTAGTCTTGAGTGCGAACTCTTAACATCTGCACCACTGACATGAGGTCCGAGTGTTAAAGTTTTGTTTCAGTCAATCCACGATAATGAGCTACCTTCACCCGCTTGACGCCGCTACATATCGTAACTCTATTCAGGCACTTGTTTCCTTTTACCCAGTAGGTTGACATCTGGTTCACCTATTTTGTATGTGCACTAATCCTGTCACTCTACAATCACAGCATGCTAAAAGAACGGTTGCGGTTGATAGCTTTTTCAAAGAGAGCATTGGCAGTTGAAACTATAGCAATTATTTCTGCAAACCTGTAAAAGATTTGTACTTACTCTACTGAATCTAAGAATAAATGAGTTATTTGATCAATATATTTGGCTCAACATTCCACCAGCTTACGTCGAAATGACCGAAATTCCGGTGATTGATTCAAACTTTGAGCTAACGAACAAAATTTTATTCGGTTAAATCAAATGACATTCTTCTGTATGGTACACGCAGTGTTTCTGAATGACTCGTACTAAATTATATCAAAACGTAAACGCTAAGCTTAATTTAATTCATACCTATTAAAGAAAAAAACAAACAAATTATATCAAAATTACAAGATACCTCAAACTGTTCAAGTTTAATCTAGAAGAAATAGCGTGCTAAGTAGTAAGGGGAATGGTCAATAAGTAAGTGTTTGGTACCTGGGAATCTGTAGTCCTAAAAAGATGGTATCAATCAATCGTCTCAAAAGGTATGCAGCAGGCAGTCTAAGGTCAACGATCATTAACCGGACCACGCCGTGACCCTGAGATTAGTCAAACACATCCTTGTTGTCACTAGCTTGACGACAAGCAACAGAAAAATTAAATGAGAAGGGTAAATCTCAAGCAAAGTGAAATAATAAAAGCCCAAACAGAGGAGACAGAAGAACATCAAATGTGGTTACAAAATACGAGACAGTACTAAGGACCAGAGAAATAACAGTATTGCTAAAAAAACACTTTAAAGAAATTTCCAACGCATCCCTACTGTCAAATTTCTACAATTCTAACATCAATAAGAACTTGATTCAAAGTATTTATAAATGGTTAACCGACACTAGCATCTTTCATTTCTCCTATTTTTGCAGAAAGTTGTTGTTACAGTTTTGTTGTAGCTTCGGCTTACATGTTTCTGTACCTAATAAGGTTACCATTTATATAAGATCCTTGGTTCTTTAAGTCGTAGATTTTTTTGTTATAATATTGAAACCGCGCATAGTTTGTCAGATACTTTCTGTAGCATGAATGATTATGGATCGATGTGTTCTCTTTTGAGGTTTTTGTCTCCATTGTATAATATCCCATTAAACTTCAATCTTCAAGATTCATTTCATCGTAACGGTAAATTACTCATTCACTCCTTGACTAATCTCTTGCGAGCTATACCGGTTATCAAAATGAGCAGATGCAAATGACATGATCATAGTATACGTTCTGGTTCCTAGTATTTACGTTTTACGTTCGGACGTCAAAATAGGCAAGCACCCACTGTCCATATTACACAATATTGTTCAGCAATGGTTCCTTTTTCCACTAAATCAATCCAATTCAGTGAACGTCGACCAATCATTATACTTACGGAGATACTTCTTAAGTAGCTTCTGAAGAGTGAAGAAATCGGTCAGCCCAGAAGGTAGAATAGCCTTTATAGGTTTGATATAGCATCGATCATTGCAAGGTGAATTTTTTCTCCATTTCAAAGAGTATGTGGAAATGTTTTACCAACTACGTTTGTGAAAGAAAACAAAAATGAACAGCATTATATGTATCACTCAGAGAATTTATGGTAGATTACCAATGTAGATTGTGTAAACGGCTGCAGAATTGTGAGTAGAAACTAAAGAAATTGCATTTGCTGAAACGTAGGGAGTAGACTGGGTATATTCTAAGTAAGAAAATAAATGAGTAACTAAGCGGGTAGCAAAATCGTAACGTGTGTGGCTGAAGTCGAGTGCTCTATTAAACAGTGAGGCGGGAATGTGAGTAATTAGTGTCCTATTATAGACCCTAGTTGACTATGGTTGATGGTGAGTTATGGTATTGAACTGTAGTTACTAATTGACTTCATACATTGTAACTAGGCTAAGCCCAAAATCCAGCGTTGGTGATAAAATCGGGGTGCGAGGACTTGTTACAACCATTCATATGTGGAAAGACAAATCACGAATACTAATGGGATATGTGCATATGGAAGAAGTATTTATCAGCCTACTGAACCTTATTAAGCGCGATTCATATTAGGAAGCACGGAACACAAGGAGTAGTTAAAATGTGTAATGACACATAGACAGTCAGACACATATATGAAAAAAACATGGTAAACTAGTAAATAACTACACTTATACATGCAATATATGCTTGCAAAAGACACATGAAGATATACACGAATAAGCGTTAACAGTTCATCCTCCAGATGCATATAAAATAATCGAACTTTCACTGACTCATCTATCATGTGATTTACCTTATAATTTTTCAATGTTCTCCAAATAAGACGGAATTTACGTGGGCGTTAAAAAAGTAATTACAGGACGTCCTCGGCCAAACGTCGTCACTCAGCCAACAGAAATCAATGTAAACTAATATTCACTGTTATTCAACAGTTATCAGCCCCAATTTAGAGGTACGATCGGTGTGACTGATAGTTTTTCTACAGTTCGGTTCTGTTTTACAGAATTCATTTAAGGCACAAAATCTACACTATATGATCATCCCTTTGGACACTATATGATGAAGAGATTACGAAACATCAGAGCTCGTTCAGATTTGTCTGACTGATTAACAATGATGAGCGAAGTAGCACTAGATTTCATACTGCACCACTCCTCCTTTTGTTGTTTATCGACAACTGAGGCTATTTTCTGGATTATCAAACTGTGATACGCGGATAGCACTAGGGTTCAATGTTTGACACAAGACCCTTCGGACATCCCGACTCTTCAAGTGAACATGAACGGGGTAATAACTAGACCATCAGAAACGTTCTCCATGTTAATGGCATAAACGTAGAATCTTAATGTTGAACAGTGGCAATACATAGATTTCATATCATCTGGGTAATTCACTAACACACTTTCTATTATAGGAGGGGACACACTCCATGTGATACACATCGTGTCGCCTGTCATCAAAATTCCGTAGCCAATGATTTATCTGGAATAATGAGATCTCCGCCCATGACGGTAACTGGCCTGACCTCCGAACTATTCATGACCACGTCGATCATATTTATTCGGCTCACCATTCAAAAGGTATAGGGACGATGAGAGTAAAACCTTTCAGGTAACTACTTTAAATTCTAGCTTCCGCTTGTTCTCATTTTTACCGTATGCTAGAAGAAAAATTTGTGCAAGGGCCCAGAAAACGCATTCTGAAACATTTATCCCCAATTCCTATCCAATTTTCAAAAGTTTAGAATAGTTGTAAACGAAATATGAGATTTTGCTCAGAGAGCTTTCCTGTCTGTCAACAGCGCACCATCGATTACGTTGGACAAAGGCCTGGGTTCATGAAATAATATATCAGACCTCAGGAAGTACCAAACCTCCTTTTTCAATAGGTGTGCTCACGTTGTCATTTATTTATGTGCATCTTTAACGAATCCTTCTCGTCTCATAGAAATAAAGATAGTTCCAATGCCAAGGAATGTATCTGGCGATAAGAACTTAGACTTTGGACTCATGGCAATGACTTCACGTTTTCTCAAAACATTGTCAAGACTATTGCCAGTTACACTCCACCCTGGGTAAAATAGTGGTATTGACCCATATAATTTTGCTTACAAATGGAAAAGAAATGCCTTAGATGCTGCTGTTGTTTTGCACCATATTATAATGTCCAGCATGGAAAAGTGTAAGATGTTTGATGCTCATTTATGGATCGTACATTTGCCTCTATTCCAAGGCGATTACTAATAAACAAGTTTGCCAGAGTCAACAGTGACAGCTAGATAACCAACTGGCTCTGTTTTTACCTCTCTGGGAGAGAACAGTACATTGTGCTTAGAGAAAAGTGTCCAAAGTCTTTATTAAGTAAAAGTTTACCATGAAGAGCTGTCATTTCTCATCTACTTGTTTTTTAAGCGTGCGGATGACCACACTGTATTTGCTACGATTTCTAACTATTTACATTCCCTTGAGGTGAATGAGTTCTTGACGCTCGTTGAAAGATGGTATGTTGTCAATAGTCTTATTCTTAGTCTTTTTAAATGCAAGATTGTTAATTTTAGCCTCATATATGAACAGAACCAAAATACCCTGTTGAAATTCCATGGGGTTAAATAGGTCATTTATGTTGTTGTAAGACGTTACCCTAGCGTTTCCTAATCCACTGATATTGGAGGAGCTTCTTTGTCTGACTCATAATATAACGATGCTCTATGCTTCAAGCATTAATTGAAATTTATAATACGATTTGTAAATTCTTGCACATGATTTATTATTTATTGCTGTTCCACGTCACTTTGGAGAAATGATTTAACCGTGTTGGCCGGAAGTCCTGAAGGTAGATAACAGAGAGTGTGGTGAATCTTTTGACGTCATTAATAATATGGTTGTGGATAGACATCTAAAATTTTACAAACACTTGACAAGCGTTAGGACTCACTAACCATCTACTTCACTCATATCTCTCTCGTATGTCTTCTGACAGAGTGAGGTGCGAATACACCAGAATACATGCGCGCAAAAGGGGCATGAAAGCTCCGTGACATCTTATCTAGCAAATATACTATATGATGAATGTAAGGTCGGACCTATTCAATGACTTGTATCTCTAAATATGTTTCAACAGAGAGCTGTACAGGTTTTTATCGCATCAAAAATGCTTTATTTAATTCCGAGTAGTTTATTTACTCAATTTATGCATATGTGTATGCAGTTGTCGGCTTTTTATTTTGCAAAAGAATCCCTAGATTTTTCCACGTATTAACCGTTTTGAAGTGAAATCCTACATTGAAGAGTAAATGAAGAAATGTCTTCACTTAGGATTTCACTCCACGTTCTGCATAAACATATTAGGGACAAGATTGAACCAGACATTGTTGTTATTAACCGTTTGACCTACATCACTAGTGATAGTGATTTGAACTGAAATTGAATGTGGTACAATCGAACTGGCGGGCGCAGCGTTTTGAAGTCATCGGATTTATTGGAATTATGGGGTCGTCACCAGAGATGGAGAGGTTTGGTTTGTCTGATGTGGAATATTCGTTCATGATGGATCCTTTAAAACGACGCCACAACCAATCAAAGAAGCAAACAATATACGGGATTTTCGCCTCAGATGATTCTGATTCAGAGCCTGAAAGAAGTGGCTTCGGTGGACGTGAAGCTGGTTTCAAGCGTAAGGGTGCCAATTATTCAGCACCGATCACCTTTGTCAGTGGTGGAGTGAAGGTAGGGTATATTTATGTTAAGGAAGGCTAGGTGACAAATAATGAGATTCATCGACGAGCTAACAATTCAGTGTTCCCAATTCTATGCTGTGAATAGATTCTTAAGTGTTGCGATCATCTGAGAGGTTGTAATAGTTACATTGCCGCTTAGTTATAAAGCACCTTTTTGCTTCTTATTATTTCAAGTTGTATGAACTCATTAGGCTCCAGTAAAGATGCCTGGGATAGATATACCCATTGTTTAGCTAATATTTTGGCAGTAAACCTGCACTGTCAAAATGATTAAGTAGTTCAGTCGTACGGAAGATGTGCCAATTATTTTTGTGCATAATAGCTGTCTAGAACATGCATTTGTTATGTCTCATGTTTGTTTCGTTCATTTATTCAACTAATATGCAAGTCTCGTTTGTCATGTAAAAATGTGTTTTCGAAGGTCCTAAGTATTTTCTGTCATTGTAGGCAGGTGCCGGTGCTTCGTCTGGTCCGAAAGAAAATAACGAAGAAGTCGACCAGATTTCGGATGATGAAGACGACAAATCTGTCCTAAGGAGTTTGCGTCCTTATCATGATTCAGACTCTGACTCACCAAATTCAGATATTTATCGTAAACCTGACAAGCCTGTGGGCATATCCGTTGGGGCCAGTCGACGTGTAGCAGCCGCCGCTGCAGCGGCGAAGTCTGCGACCTCTGGTTTCGGGGCTTGGGAAAGGCACACAAAGGGTATTGGAATGAAACTTTTAGAGCAGATGGGTTACGAACCGGGCAAGGGTCTTGGTTCTGACGGTCGGGGTATTGTTACTCCAGTTCAAGCTGTCCAACGAGTGGGGAAAGTATCAGTAGGGTACTATGGATCTGAAAAAGCCCCCGCCCCTCGTCGAGGAAATGAGACTGTCGTTGAAGGTTCAGACTCTGGTAAGTTATTTTTGATCTATAAGTAACCTACAAATACTATCTGACTCAAAGCTGAGTACTCAAACATTTATTTCGTAATGTAGTTGTATTTGTATGCTAATGTTTAGATTTGAAACTATATGCGCCAAATAAGTCTAGTGAATTATACTTATACTATATATTTATATCTAAAATTGTCTGTTTAGTAATTATATTATTGCAGGTATATTCTGGATACGAGTATTGTTACCATTAGTCAATCAGTAACAACGTAGAACTTCGTACGTACGTAGATCCGTTCTGGTTGCCATACCACATTACCACAAAAGTACAATTATCGATTCAAATCTCATAGTGGTAGAGGTAGTGAAAGTATAAGCAGTAATAGGAAGATGTTAGTCAAGGAGTATAATCCAGTGAAATAAATTTGGAAGGAGAAAAAATAAGGGACATGAAGAATTCAGAAGATTAAAATTTGGGAGAACATAAAGGGTGGATGCACCTGCGCCGTTGCAAACGATTTTGAGCTATATCATTCAAGGTCTCTAACCATCGGTTGCTATCGTTCAGCGAATCCCAACCAGGTAGTCTACACCTACCAGCATGGCTCAGTTCACTTGTCGGTGACTTCATGGATTTGTGCCATGTTTTGGTCTGGCCGCCCCTAGCTTTCTTCCAACCTACCCCTACACCATAAAAAATCGTACGTCGGGGCAGTCGGTGGTCGGGCATGCGTAACACATGCCCCAGACATCTCAACTGATGAAGTTTCACTACTTCATCAATTGATTTTCCATCCTAACCTAGTACCCGTTTCCTAACAACTGCATTACTTACTCGGTGGTCCCAGGATATACGAGCAATGTTTCGAAAACACCTATGATCGAATACTAGTAACCTAAAAATATCCCCTACTCTTACCGGCCATGTTTCACTGCCATAAAGTAGGACGGAACGAACAGCTGCACAGTAAACTCATCCTTTGGTTGGTAGACGGATATCTCGCCTACGCCACAAATGACGCAAGTTAGCAAAAGCTAAGTCGAGCCTTCTGTACCCGTGCTGAGATTTCGTCACACACCAGACCCCAAGGGCTGATGAGACTCCCAACATGAGTGAAGTGGTCGACACGCTCAACTACTTCACTCCTTATCATTAGTTCGGGTGTCGATGCCACCCAATCCTGAGGCAACATTTTGCATTTCCAGGGGGGAATCGCATCCCGAACATGTTTGCGTTGTTGCTTGTTGAATTTTTTCACGTGATTTATCGTTACCTGAATCATTTGGTCCTATTTTACAAAAATAAACATCCAAATTTGATTGATTTAACACTGTATAGTTTTGATTGTCAAAAAGCTACATATTTCTTTGATAATTTTGATTTTGATTATTGCCCTGAAGAAGTCCAGACAAGTTAGCTGGATGAAACGTTGGAATTATTTAAATTTCGATTGCTGAGATTATTTCAAATATAATTTTCACATATAATGACTTCTCTATACTCAGCGCCCAATTTCTGTCAAACTATTCGTTCTAATCTTGACGAATATTCGTATAATTGATTTATACGTAGACTGTGGATGCGGTGTTTCCTAATCCCGTTCTTGCTCGTTATTGTTTATGCATACTATTTCCCCTCTAACTTACGTGAATTTGTTACCAAAGTACTATAGTTGTGATAGTCATGCTAAAATGGTTTGTATTGGATTTTAAATTAAAACGTACTACTTAGGTACTGATTATGGGCTTATTCACCATGATAGCTAAGGATACTACCCTGTTGCCAAAACTAACGTAGGTGGAGCGGGCTTCAAACTTAGGACGTAGTGTTTGAAGACCAAACACGACCACTAGGCCACCACTCTATAGGTTTATATTACAACAGGCAGATGTCAGAGGTCACTGCGTGGTGACCTGCATTTTTATCTTCAGTTTATCGTGTTATTTGATGAAAAGTACTTTCTTGATTGAATATTTTGTGTATTCATTGTGATTTTAATTTATTAGTATATTCAGTTGTACACCCACTGTTCTTCCGAAGACTATGTAAGTATGATTCAGATGATTGTTTCGTGAGCTAATTGTTTTAGGCACTGGATATTGTAGTTAAAGTATCAGTCTTGGTTTTAGCTGTTTATCTTTGCTACTATTAGATCAGATAACATTCAAAATACATGTTATTTCGATCATCTGAAAAACTAGGTAGGTTTTATGAGGAGCATCTTTGTATTTCTTCTGTGTTCTGCAACTGATTGCTAAATGAAGATAACAACAATGAAGCGTATCCCATCACCGAAATACTCGTTATCATGTCAGTGTTCGGCTGAACGGTCGAAGCTCTTTTTAATTAGGTCAAAACAGTTGGTTGCTACCACTACCCCCGACTCTAGCTGATAATCTATGGTTGATTACTGGATTGTAGTGAAAGAATTTGGAGTTTGTCCCTTATCTCTTTTATTTTTGTCCCAATCTCTAACCACTAGTGTATGGTTGTATATGCTAAACTAGCTGGAACCACATTCGGACTGTTCTGCGTTATTCATCTTAAAACCGTCTCACTAAATGTAAGGGGAATAACGTTCAACTTCCAACATAGCTTCGCGTTTTTGATTTTCATGAATACCAATTAGTAAAGTAAATTGAATGAGGAACGATGCAATATGGTTAAGTAATAACTGTTCAGGAGGTTGTTTGCTGACTCGTTACGTTTATTTAATCTTCTAATAAACGGTGAATAGAATGCTTGACAATTGATCTCGCAATTAAAGTTGCGTTAACTTTCCAATAAGAAAACACTACCTTATATACAAAGGTATAAAACGAAATAAAAATGATCATACATTGCGTACAGCATAGGCTGTTAAACTACGATGATACTGTAAATTCAACAAACATCCACTGAATTTAAGATTTCGGGTATCAGTCGTATTTCTGTTCTTCACGCTATTTAACTCAATAGACCTTAGAAGGCTGTGCGTGTCCATTGTTAGTTATCACGTTTACTCATCAGATGTCTACTAGACATACTCCACGAAGGTTATAGTGATTCATTGTGATTTTTGGCGGCGTTGTTGATGACAAAAACCAGGACTGAAGGTATTCAACTTTATTTCTGCCACACCTCAACACAGCATGACGTCATCACTCTCGTATGTATAAAGCACTGTGCACACAACAAAAGAATCAACGTAGGCTTTCATAATATCATTTGATTAACAAATGGTTTTCCTGTAAATGACATCAAGGAATAAGGCTTTGCTATACTATAAAACTGGTTTGGAAATACACTAATGCGTACGTAATTTTTCCCTGTATTTCACGTAGTCGGGCCACGTTACAAGAAGAGGCCTGGGTTACAACGGAGTCAAGCATCAAAGCCTATACAGGAGTATAAAACTACTGAGGAATTAGTCGCCGATCTTTGTCCTGCAACCCCTGCTACAGCTGTTAGGCGACATGGGATTTTCTTGGAGAACAGGTAGGTACTATTTGGGATATATATATATATATATATATATATATATATATATATATATATATTACACCTGTTACTTCTCATAGAGGAGCATAGGCTGCCCACCAGCATTCTTTGAATTCTATCCTGGTCAATCCTTTCCAGTTGCTATTCATTCTTTTCATGTCTGCTTCCAATTATCGGAGCAATGTATTTCTTGGCCTTCCTCTTTTCCTTTCAGAGTTAGCGCTTGCCTCGTGATACAGTTTGATGATTTCCGCAATGTGTATCCTATCCACTTCAATCGTGTTTCCCTAATTTCCTCCTCAGCTGGAAGTTGTTCTCTCCCACAATAGGCTGTTGCTTGTGGTATCCAACCAACCGATATTGAGTATCTTGTGTAGACAATTGTTTATAAATACCTGTACTATTTTGATAATGGTTGTGGTAGTTCTCCAAGTTTCAGCTCTGTACAGTAGAACTGTTTTGACAATCGTATTGAAGATCCTGGCTATGGTGTTGGCTTACAGACAGATGTTTTGAGTTCCATATGTTCTCCAACTGTAGGGATACAGCCCTTCTCCAATCCTTGCCTTTACCTCTGCATCAGATCCTCTTTGTCCATTGATGTTGTTACCCATGTACGTGAGAGTTTCCACCTCTTCCAGGGCTTCCCCATCAAGTTTGATTGAGTTGGTATATAGGAAGCGATTTCTAAGCTATTCTCTAGACTGTCGAGCGTAGAGTCTTGGTTTAGCCAAAGTCAAAACAAGTAAGCGATTTAGCTTGATAAACTTTATCTATTTCTAAAACAGAAATTAACGCCGTTAGTATACAAAATAAACAACACAGTCTACTAAGCAGGGGAAATGAGAGACATAAATAACGTACCGAACAGTAACTAGAGGATGGGAAAAATGAGTCAACAAGGCGAATATTGTTTTATAATGAACATAAAATTGTGGTTGCTAAATAAACATGACAAAGTCATACGTGGTGAAAGAAAGTTAATGTGATGGTGGGAGTTTCACTTCAGCATTAGTGGGTTCGTTTATTGATCACACTTTATGTGGTGTTCTCTGTTGTATTTAAAGATCTTGGTTTGTCCCTTGTGTATGTTGAGGCTTACTGCTACAGATGCTGCTTACACACCGGCTGTCTTCACCTGTATTTGTTGGTGTGTATGGAATAGAAGAGCTGGGTTGTCTGCGAACTCCAAACCGTCTAGCTGCATCCATTGTATATGTTTGTGGGGGAATGTTGTGCCGCCTATAACTATTTTGAATGCACATGAGTTTGAAAATCTATCACCATTCTCGTTCCTTTTTCTCAATCACTCCATGTCGTTCCATGATATCTTCATACCCAGTGTTGTCCATTCCGAATTTGGCGTCTAGGTTTCCGATTAGGATGGTCAGGTCCTTTCCTGTTCACTTCTCTACGATCTATTGCAGCCTTTCGTAAAACTGGTCTTTATCGTCTTCTTTGCTATCATTGGTGGGTGCATAACATTGGATAACATTCATCGTGATCCCCCCTTTGCTCTGAAGAATGCTTTGATGATCTTAGATCCATGAGATTCCCATCCTATTAGTGCTTTACATGCTTTTTTGGATAGCATCAGTGCAACTCCTTAAACGTGCGAAGCATTTTTTTCATGATCAGAGTACAACAACATCTCTCCCAATGTCAATCTTTTTTGTCCAGCTCGGTTTCAAAGGGCTTCACTCATTCCGAGCATCGTCAAGTCCTATCTCCACATTTCAGAGGTTATTTCATCGGTCTTTACGGCCTTCCACACTGTCCAGGTATTCCATGTGTCTATATTAATTAATTGTTTTTCTGGTTGTTAGAAGAGGCATGGACATTGTGACATCCCAAGAATCCGGGCTTTTACCATGAGGCATCTTAATTCTTCTAAATGCAGATACTTAAACTCACAGAGCAGAATTTAAATGGTTTAAATTGCTTATTCTGGTTGGCGTTTTTTAGCAAGGTTGTTTTCTACGAGATTGGGTAGCTGGCTTCATGCCCAACCCTCCTCCTTTACCCGGTCTTGGCACAGGCAGTAACCCTAGAAGAGCTACAGGCGGAGTTATATATATATAACCGCCTGTAGCTCTTCTAGGGTTACTGCCTGTGCCAAGACCGGGTAAAGGAGGAGGGTTGGGCATGGGGTTAGCGTCCCCATCCCGTAGAACACTAACTCGCTAAAAGAAACGCTTACCAGAAAAATTAATTTAAACCATTTTAACTCTGCCCTGGGAGTTAGAAGGTCTTCATTTAGAAGAATTATGACGCTTCATGGTGAAAGCCGAGTTCCTTCGGAAGCCACGAGGCCGATGCCCCTTCTAACAACCAGAGCAAAAATTTTTGTAGGTACATGGAACGTCCGAACAATGTGGGAGACCGGGAAGACCAGTCGAATAGCAATGGAAATGAGGAGATACAACTTAGCAGTACTGGGAATCAGCGAAACCCACTGGACCCAAGCTGGACAGAAAAGGCTAGCTACGGGAGAGATGCTGCTATACTCCGGTCACGAAGAGGAAAATGCTCCACACACTCAGGGAGTCGCTCTTATGCTGTCCAAAGTAGCACGGGATGCACTTGCAGGATGGGAATCTCACGGATCCAGAATCATCAAAACATCATTCAAAACAAAGGAGGGGATCACGATTAATGTTATCCAATGTTATGCACCCACCAATGATAGCAACGACGACATTAAAGATCAATTCTACGAGCGGCTGCAGTCAATCATAGAGAAATGCCCAAGAAAGGACCTCACCATCCTAATGGGAGATCTAAATGCCAAAGTCGGAATAGACAACACTGGATATGAAGATATTATGGGACGACATGGATTGACTGGGAGAGAGGATTGAAAATGGAGAAAGATTTGCAAATCTATGTGCATTCAACAAATTGGTCATAGGCGGCACAATATTTCAACACAAGCGTATACACAAGGCTACATGGATCTCACCGGACCACACTGCAGAGAACCAAATAGATCATATTTGCATCGACAAAAATTCCGAAGGACAATGGAAGATGTGAGAACCAGGAGAGGTGCTGACATAGCTTCAGATCACCACCTAGTTGTGGCCGATTTAAAAATGAAACTAAAGAAGAACTGGACATACAGCACTACAAAGGTTCAATACAGCCTTTCTTCGAGATACTGATAGACTCAATGAATTCAAGATAGCTCTCAACAACAGGTTCCAAGCCTTACATGATCTACTGAAGGAAGAAGAAACTACTATGGAGGACAACTGGAAAGGCATCAAAGAAGCATTAACTTCAACGTGTCAAGAGGTTCTGGGCCTAAAGAAACACCATCATAAGGAGTGGATCTCTACAGAAACACTGGACAAGATCAAAGAAAGAAGGAACAAGAAGGCAGCAATTAACAACAGCCGAACACGAGCAGAGAAAGTCCAAGCACAAGCTAAATACATAGAAGCAAACAAACAAGTGAAGAGGAACATTAAAGCCGACAAGAAGAAATACGTGGAAGAACTAGCAACGACGGCGGAAAAAGCTGCAAGAGAAGGAAATATGAAGCAGCTTTACGATACAACAAAGAAACTATCAGGGAAATACAGTAAACCAGAGAGATCGGTCAAAAACAAAGAAGGCAAGCCAATCACTGAAATTCAACAACAGCGGAACAGATGAGTAGAGTACTTCGAGAAACTCCTGAATAGGCCGACTCCGATGAATCCACCAGACATCGAAGCAGCACACACAAATCTTCCTACAGATGTCAATCCACCAACGACGGAAGAAATCAGAATGGCCATCAGACAAATCATGAGACGGAAAGCAGCAGGACTTGACAACATACCAGCTGTAGCACCGAATGAAATCAGACATCGAAGTAAGTACAAACATGCTTCGCCTTCTATTCAAAAAGATTTGGGCTGAGGAACAAGTGCCGATGGACTGGAAAGAAGGGCACTTCGTCAAGATTCCAAAGAAAGGAGATCTGAGCAAATGTGAGAACTACAGAGGCATTACACTACTGTCAATACCAGGGAGGGTCTTCAACAGAGTGTTGTTGAACCGGATGAAAGATGCAGTAGACGCCCAACTTCGAGATCAACAAGCTGGATTCCGTAAGGACCGGTCGTGCACAGACCAAATTGCAACACTACGGATCGTCGTCGAACAATCGGTTGAGTGGAACTCTTCACTATACGTCAACTTCATTGGCTATGAAAAGGCATTCGACAGTGTAGATAGGAGGACGTTATGGAAACTTCTTCGACACTATGGAGTTCCTGAGAAGATTGTCAATATTATCCGGAACTCATACGACGGACTACAATGCAAAGTAGTGCATGGAGGACAGCTGACGGATGCATTCCAAGTAAGGACCCGGAGTCAGACAAGGCTGTTTACTCTCTCCCTTCCTCTTTCTTCTGGTGGTCGACTGAATTATGAGGACCTCGACATGTGAGGGAAAACACGGAATACAATGGACAGCTCAAAATCAATTAGACGATTTGGACTTCACAGATGACCTAGCCCTCCTAGCGCATACACACGAACAGATGCAGACAAAGACAGCTAGTGTAACAGCAGTCTCTGCATCAGTAGGCCTCAGCATACACAAAGGGAAAACCAAGGTCCTCAAATTCAAAGCGGAGAACAGCAATCCAGTCACTCTTGATGGCGAAACTCTAGAAGATGTAGAATCCTTTACATACCAGTGTGGCAGCATCATCGATGAACAAGGAGGATCCGATGCAGACGTAAAGGCAAGGATTGGCAAAACAAGGGTCGCATTCCTACAATTGAAGAACATATGGAACTCAAAACAACTTTCAACCAATATCAAAGTGAGAATCTTCAATACGAACGTCAAGGCAGTTCTACTGTATGGAGCTGAAACATGGAGAACTACAAGAACCACCATCAAGAAGGTAAAAGTATTTATAAATAGCTGTCTTCGCAAGATACTCAACATCCATTGGCCGGATACCATCAGCAACAGCCTCTTCTGGGAGAGGACAAATCAGCTTCCAGCTGAAGAAGAATTTAGGAAAAGACGATGGAAATGGATAGGACATACATTACGCAAATCATCAAACTGCATCACGAGACAAGCCCTAACTTGGAATCCTGAAGGGAAGCGAAAAAGAGGAAGGCCTAAGAACACATTACGTCGGATAATAGAAGCAGATATGAAAACGATGAATAACAACTAGAAGGAGCTGGAAAGGATTGCCCAGGACAGGGTTGGATGTCGAATGCTGGTGAGCGGCCTATGCTCCTTCACGAGGAGTAACAGGCGTAAGTAATATATATATATATATATATATATTAGGCGTAAGTATGGATTAAAGCACTTGTAAGGCTTTTTTACAACAAACTGTTGGACTGAAAGTAAGGTAGAAAGCTTATTCAATGGTTAAGGCCCTTGACTTCCCACAGCCAAGTGACGAGTTAGAACTCTGTTCCACCTATTTTGTTTCGGGCATTCGGTTAGCTCAAAGTATCTTAATAAGTTATACCTATCTGCTCATTTACAATTATTTTTTACTATAGCTAATCAGCTCAGGTATACGATTCTCTTTGCAGGTTAACAATGTGAAGTTGATTTCTACCTTTATCGTCAAAATATATGTTACCGATTAAAGGTTTCGAATAATGAGTTAATTCTATTGATGGTTTAGAATGTTAGGATTTTTCCTGTCCAATTTTTTGTAAGTTAGAGAATTGATGTCCTAGTGATTGAAGTTAGCCTTTGACAGCTGGGCTGCTGCATAGCAGTCCATTAATCTACTTCATTTTGAACAGGTTGGTGGTACCATCAACCTTTACACTGAGTTATGGCTTAAAACAAATTACATGAACCTACACTATGTAATAATATCTCCAGACAGTTAATAGGACTGTTTTAACTTAATAAAATAGTGATATTTCATTCATGGTAATATAACTCGGACATCTCTAGTCGACTGCATTAATTTTTTTACCCATTTATTATGTTTTGTTTGTTTAGTGAATTGTCCAAAGTAAAGGTTATCGATATGACAAGTAAAGAGCAAAAGGTGTACTCTGGTTATGAAGCTGCTTTATCTCGTGTTGTGCAAAGGCGCCGAAAACCGGGAGATAATTCTACACTCTCAGATGAAGAAAATCCAGATGTTGATGGTAAACGAATCGAAAAAAGGTTGGAAGGGAATTTCTTTGATTGTCCCGCTCTGCAACACAATTTCGCCCTGATAATGCGGTCCGCTGAAGATGAAATTAGGAGGTTTGATCGGGCTGCTAGATTCGAGGAAGATCGCGCAGTTGGTTTAGAACATGAAATCGAAAAATTAACTGAGGTCTGTTTAGCTTTCCTTTTTCTCAAATTAATTAGCAAAAGGTATGACATTTTCATGCTTTGTAATATCGCCATTTTATTTCGATGAGAATGTTCTTGGTTAAGTTGCGGAAGTCGAGTACACAGTGGAACATTTTACTACTAACTAAAATCATGTAGGACATATTTCACTTCATTAAGTCAGCTAATCAATCAACGTAGAGACTGAAACAAGCGTATGTGATCCCAATTTGCTATGTAATTTCAATACGATTAGACGAGATCGACAAAATTAATAGCAAGATGATTGTGTCAATGATAGCATCAATTACAGTAGAAATGATTAAACCATGAGAATATGGTTTGAAAAGCTTAGAATCTAGGGGAAGACGAGAAATCGATGCATCTGCGTCTCTATGATCGAACAATACGGCATACACCAAATGCAAATGACTTTATGGACTAATATGACGTTTTGGTTTGATCATCTTCAGCTATCTTCCATCTGCCTGCTTTACCGGTCAGGATTACACATCAAGTAGGCTGTGGTCGGCTCCGCGCGACACATTGTACGTCCCATCTTAGTTAGAAATCTACAACCTCATCAACTGATTTGCTATCTGTGTTTAGTACAACATCAGCATTATTCACTATGTCGTCCTAAAATACTTCGGTAACTCTCCGAAGAAACTTACGATCAGAAATTTTAAGCCTGCGCATGTCTTCTACTTTCATACCCTGTATCTCACAGCCGTAGACTAATACGAAACGGACTACTATGCAGTATATTCTCCTTTTGTATGGTAGACAGACATCTCGTCTACGCAAGTTTCTTAGTCTAACGAAGCCAAGCGAACTTTCTGAATTCGTGCGGAAATTTCACCAGACACTGGGTCACCAGGACTCATAAGATTTCTAAAAGAACTGGAGTGGTCGACGTACTAAATGTCACTCTTTATGTAGGAGTGATGATTACTACTGGAAAAATTATTCTTATTTCTACTCGCATTCAGAACAATGGCACTCACAATCATTTGTTTTTATTTCTTTTATACTACGTCACTTATTCATTCCCCTTTATTCTCATTTTGCGTATTTTCCAACTTATACAGCAGCTCGCCTGTGGTGAAAACCCCGTGCTACCTAAAGTATATCGAGTCACTGAGTGGTCGGAATTTGAATGCTACCACCGATTACAATTATTGAAAGTCTTCCTGAACCCATGTTTACCATTCGAACTGGCGTCCAACGTTCGCACTCTAATGCAGATTAGACAACAGATATGGTTGGCTATGTCTTTAGAAAGTTTTAATCTCGATGTCTGTTGTCTGTCCGTGACCCATATTAGAGAATCTAGTAAAGTACTACAAATTCGCTTTCCATCTGTCGCTTCGAAAACCTTGCTTCACATACGTTTATCCGGAGACCCTATGGCATCTTCGTCTGGTTGTGCTGGCTTTAATGTCGCACCAAACGCTAGAACTGAGGCAGCACCGATCGATTGGATCCCAATTAACAGTCGGTTACATGTTGTTAAATTAGAAAGTTCCATCAAAGTGCAAGGAAATCGATGTGAGAAAAGGTGTCTTTTCGTCATCTCCGCCTATGCTCCGACAGATTGCAGGCCAGATGCTACCAAGAATGAGATTTAGCAACAGGTAACAGGTCTTATACAGAAAGTACGTTCGATAGATATTGTAGTAATAGTCGGAGATTTAAATACTCAAGTTGGGCGTTTAGGCACACAAGAGAGACGTTTAGGTGGCCAGTAGGGACTTGTTGGGCGCAGGTCAGAAAACGGGGACCGTCTACTGCTACTGCCCGACCGTTGTTGCTACCTTGACGTGGTGGTCGGGCTTGCCTATCGTGATGAAGCAACCGAGCTATACTGGCTGGAACAACCGTTCCTCAACGTCCTACCATGTCAGACAGGTCGGTTGAAGAGCGGTAAGACTAAAAGCAACAAACCCAAGGTCCGAAGGCGAAGTCGTACTGCTGACTGCAGAGAGGTGTGACAGCAGTAAGGTATTTCCCTCGGACAACCAGCATGACAGCGATGCTGCCTTCCCGCAAGGAGGGGTGGGGTTAAAAAAGGTCGACCCTAAAAATGTCACGCCTCACCTTACCTCACGAATTTCCGTCTCCGGCGGTAAGGCTCTTTGAAGGACGGAGCTAACACGTCAAAAACCTTCCACAAAAAGGCCATGCGCGACCGGCCTCAAGCAGTTGTCTCTTGGGCTCTGCGGTCACGCTCTCAGGTCACTGAGACCACCTCTAATACAGTTTCCTTTTCAGGTACCTCCAGAAGAACCCTTCCTCGGTGTGGGCAACCGGGAAGTGATAACCGCCCTCATACCTCTAACAGCACCCAAGACCACCGTATTCATAATCAACCTTCTCCTTCAATTCCTATTATTCCTCCTACATCGACTTTCAACCCTAAACTTCCTCTTTCGGCTTCCTCCTCAAGTGTCACCATAGCCAACGATTCTAGTGCTCAAAACTCTGTCCCAGGTCTACTGAAACCTCGCTCCAAACTACACATTGGAGCTTTCAACGTACACACTCTATGTCAAATCGGTCAGCAGGCTTCCTTGGCTAAAACCCTAGAGTCTCTTTCCATTGATGTATGCTGTGTCTCCGAAACACGCATACAGGGTTCCAGTGTGGTCATTCACTTGACCTCACCTCGGCAAAACGGAGAGCCAACGAGATACACCCTCCGTGTATCTGGTGACCCGATGGCCAGTTCTCGTGGACTGGCAGGTGTAGGCATAGCACTAAACATGAGGGCGGAACAAGCACTGCTAGAGTGGATCCCCGTCAACAGTCGTCTATGTGCTGTTCGGCTAAACGGCTCCGTAAGAACTCGGAAGGATAGGGACACACGTCGTTGCCTTTTCGTCGTTTCTGCCTACGCTCCCACTGACTGCAGCTCAGACGATGTGAAAGATGAATTTTACAGAAAGCTTTCTGAACTTCTTCAGAAAGCTAAACGCTCAGACATAGTCCTCGTAGGGGGTGACTTTAATGCTCAGATAGGTAGCTTAAACCAAAGAGAAAGGCATTTAGGTGGATATTTTAGCATTCAGGCACAGCGAACAGATAATGGTGACCGTCTGCTGCAACTGTGCTCAGACAATCGCTTATTTTTAGCAAACACAAATTTTAAGCATAAGGAGAGACATCGTCTAACATGGCGACCGCCTGCACCAAGCCAACGGTGGACTCAAATAGACCATATTGCCATCAGTCACCGATGGAGAGGGTCGGTAGAAGATTGTCGCTCATTCTGGAGTACCTGCTTGGACTCCGACCATGCCCTAATACGAGCACGTATCTGCTTGCGCCTCACTGGACGCAAAAAAGCCACATTAAAAAGACCCGTTAGAACTGAGTTGAGTAACGAGAAAACCAAAAGTAGGTTCCAGGAACAACTGAGGTCACACTTAGGTAGTTCTGAAGACGAGGCTGACCCAGATGTTGCTTGGAAAGATATACAAGCAGCGGTGGAAGCAGCAGTGACATATATTAGCGACTTAAACCACGTAGTTTCAAAGAACCAGTGGATTTCTTCAAAGTCTATCACACTGATGGATTCTCGCAAACTCGTCCCATCAGGTTCCGAACATGATGAAGAGCGACAACAAATCAGATCTAGGTTAAGAAAAAGTCTAAGAAACGACCGTGAGCAGTGGTGGGCAACGAAAGCAAAACAGATGGAAAAGGCGGCGATTATAGGGAACACAAGACAGCTTTACAGACTAATAAAAGAAACTGGAATTAATAAGTCAAGTGTAAGTGAGATTATATCGGAAAAAGACGATACACTCATCTGCGCCCAGTCCAGGCGTTTAGAACGATGGGCGGAACATTTCAGAGAACAGTTCAACTGGCCTTCAGCTACTCTACAACTACCCTCCATTCCCAAACAGTGTGAATGGAACATTGAAGTAGGTCCCCCAACTTTAGTTGAAGTTCAAAAGGCTATAGCTAATCTGAAACGAGAAAGGGCAGCTGGTCCAGATGGATTGGCTTCAGAGGTCTTTAAGGATGGTGGTCCAATTTTAGCGATTAGGTTGACTAATATTTTAGCTAAAATCTGGGAGTTAGACGTTATTCCATCTAACTGGTCACAATCACTTATCGTCCCAATATATAAGAAAGGGTCAAAATCATCCTGTGACAACCACAGAGGGATTAGTTTAACTAATATAATATCTAAAATACTAGCCTCGATAATTATCAGACGCTTAACTAAGACTCGTGAACTGCAAACACGAGAGAACCAAGCTGGCTTTAGACCTGGTCGTGGCTGCATCGACCACATATTCACCATTCGTCAGATTCTAGAACACAGGCATACTTATCGGCGTCCGACAATGGTGGTCTTTCTCGACTTAAAAGCAGCATTTGACTCGGTAGACCGCGAGATTCTGTGGCAGTGTCTGTCATTGAAAGACGTACCCCAGAAGTATATAAACCTTGTGAAGGCTCTTTACTCGAACACTACTAGTCGAGTCAGAGCTTATGGCGAACTGTCATCTGCTTTTGCAACCTCAAGTGGTGTCCATCAAGGCTGTCCACTTTCCCCATTTTTGTTTAACTTTATCATCGATCTACTGGTGGGAATAACTTTCTCGTCGACTGAGTTCTCGGGTATTGATCTCCTACCAGGAGGTCCACTTATCGACTTAGAATACGCAGATGACATAGTCCTGTTTGGTGAAGACGCTGACAAAATGCAGAGTCTTCTGGTAGCACTGAGCAACAATGCCAGAATGTTTGGAATGCGCTTCTCTCCCTCGAAATGCAAGTTGTTGCTTCAGGACTGGTCTGCGTTAACACCTGAACTAAGGATAGGGAGTGAAGTAGTCGAACGCGTTGACAACTTCACTTATCTTGGAAGTCTGATCAGCCCTAATGGGTTGGTATCGGTCGAAATCTCAGCACGGATTCGAAAAGCTCGATTGGCTTTTGCCAACTGACGTCACCTATGGCAAAGGCGAGATATCCGTCTATCAATAAAAGGACGAGTATACTGCGCGGCAGTCCGTTCTGTTTTAATTTACGGCGGCGAAACATGGCCATTAAGAGTAGAAGACACTCGTAAGCTACTAGTATTTGACCACAGATGCCTTAGAAATATTGCTGGGATCACCGGGTAAGTAATAGTGAGGTTAAACGCATGGTATTAGGGAATGATGGTAAATCAGTTGATGAGGTTGTGAATCTTCATCGACTGAGATGGTTGGGCCACGTGTTACGTATGCCTGAACACCGATTACCACGACGTGCAATGCTATCCGGTATTGGAAATGGTTGGAAGAAAGTTAGGGGCGGCCAAACCAAAACGTGGCATCAGTGCTTGAAGTCACTAACTTGTAGTCTGAGCCATGTTGGTAGATGCGGACTACTTGGTTGGGGTCCGCGTGACTATCGTAGCCAATGGTTGGAGACTCTTGGTGACATGACTCAGAATCGATCACAATGGCGTAGGTGTCTACACTCCCTGTCTTCCCTTAAACTATGAGATTAAAATCGCTTCATATCTTTCTTTCTACGAACCAATTTTTTCTTCTTGTACTATATCTCTATATGCAATCTTTCTCTTATATATTACTACCTTTGACCTAACCACTGCTATGAATCCGGTGTTCATCTTGTTGTGCTGATGCGGTATGGCAACCTGGACCGATGCACATATGTGCCTGGTCCTACGTTGTAGCTGACTGACTGACTACTGCAACTATGCGCATACCACAACCTGCTTCTGGCTAGTGCTATCTACCGGCACAGTCATCCCCGATGTGCCACCTGACGTCCTTCCTCAATATCTCAAGCCTATACTCAGACTGGTCACATTGCGATCAGTTACCTCCGCTGTGTTTATGTACAAGACTGCTGTTCCTTTTGGAGTGCCTATGTAGATTCTGATCATACCCTTGTTTGTGCTAATCTTACCTTACGTTTCAGTAGCCAACAAATTCATCGTCGTAAACGCATTGATGTCAGCAAATTGGTTGCAGCTTCTGTTGCAACTAAATAACAAATAAGCTAGGTTCAAGGATGTTTTCCGATCTGGACGTGGATGTATAGACCAGTTATTCACACTACGTCAGGTCCAAGGGCATAAACACACATTCAGACGCCCCACAATAGTAGTATTTCTCGACCTAAAGGCGGCATTTGATTCTGTTGATCGTGAGGTACTATGGCAGTGTTTGTCACTGAAAGGAGTACCAAAGGCTCTCTACTCGAACACAACTGGTCGAGTGAGAGCTTATAGTGAACTGTCATCAGAATTGATTACGTCACGTGATGTCCGTCAGGGGTGTCCACCCTCCCCATTCTTGTTTAACTTTGTCGTTGACGTGCTTTTAGAGATGACACATTCCTCATCTAAATTTCCAGGGGTTGAACTTCTACCGAGAGATTCACTTGTTGACTTAGAATATGCCGATGACATAGTTCTATTTGGTGAAGACGCTGACAAAATGCAGTCTTCTGACCGCTATAAGCATCAACGCAAACATGTTCGGGATGCGATTCCCCCCTGGAAATGCAAAATGTTGCCTCAGGATTGGGTGGCATCGACACCCGAACTAATGATAGGGAGTGAAGTAGTTGAGCGTGTCGACCACTTCACTCATGTTGGGAGTCTCATCAGCCCTTGGGGTCTGGTGTGTGACGAAATCTCAGCACGGGTACAGAAGGCTCGACTTAGCTTTTGCTAACTTGCGTCATTTGTGGCGTAGGCGAGATATCCGTCTACCAACCAAAGGATGAGTTTACTGTGCAGCTGTTCGTTCCGTCCTACTTTATGGCAGTGAAACATGGCCGGTAAGAGTAGGGGATATTTTTAGGTTACTAGTATTCGATCATAGGTGTTTTCGAAACATTGCTCGTATATCCTGGGACCACCGAGTAAGTAATGCAGTTGTTAGGAAACGGGTACTAGGTTAGGATGGAAAATCAATTGATGAAGTAGTGAAACTTCATCAGTTGAGATGTCTGGGGCATGTGTTACGCATGCCCGACCACCGACTGCCCCGACGTACGATTTTTTATGGTGTAGGGGTAGGTTGGAAGAAAGCTAGGGGCGGCCAGACCAAAACATGGCACAAATCCATGAAGTCACCGACAAGTGAACTGAGCCATGCTGGTAGGTGTAGACTACCTGGTTGGGATTCGCTGAACGATAGCAACCGATGGTTAGAGACCTTGAATGATATAGCTCAAAATCGTTTGCAACGGCGCAGGTGCATCCACCCTTTATGTTCTCCCAAATTTTAATCTTCTGAATTCTTCATGTCCCTTATTTTTTCTCCTTCCAAATTTATTTCACTGGATTATACTCCTTGACTAACATCTTCCTATTACTGCTTATACTTTCACTACCTCTACCACTATGAGATTTGAATCGATAATTGTACTTTTGTGGTAATGTGGTATGGTAACTAGAACTGATCTACGTACGTACGAAGTTCTACGTTGTTACTGATTAACTGAGTTTCAAGGCTAGCTACCATCCCACCGAAACGTATAAATGAGTACTGGTTATAATTTCATGACGCCATGAAAAAGACGAGTAAAGTCACTTGCGGGTTTGCGAATCGTCCCGCTTATAAACACAGAGTTTTTTCAGGCTTTTCACAACTGATTGAAGCCCGTCGGCCTACTTAGGGTGACCACGAGTTTGACTATAAACGGGGACTGTTGCGTAATGAAATTGTGCAAGCTTGCGTTAGGTCCGAGAAACCTGTTGGTCGGAGCGTGTCGATTATTTGGAGATGACAATTTAAAAGGACCTATATACAAGCACCTCAGGCAATGTGAGGACATACAAGCACCTCTCTCCATTGTTCCATTCAAGCACTGAGGTTAGGTATGGTTGCCCAATCTTACCGTTTCTCTTCAACTTTGCTATCGATTATGGTGTGTAAGATTATAGCACATTCAAATTTTGTCTGAAATCTTATAATTTTTTTGGATAGTCCGGACCACATCTGACAAAACACTAATTTAGTTATGTTGTTAATATTTTCTATTATGAATTTCGTTCTTTTCATCACCTTTCAGATAGTTGACGGAGAAGAATCTGAAGTGAATTACCTCAAGAAAGCTTTATTTCTAATAAAGAAGTTTGAAGATGAAGTTACGTTTCATTCAGGCTGTGATACGAACTTAACATCTGAAGCTATTTCATCTTGGGTATCACTTATACGTGAGGAATGTGCTAACCTAGTAGAAATGCCTGTTCTCATGGCATCGATCGCTCGCCCAATGTTGGATAATTCACTTGCTAGATGGGATCCTCTAAAGGTAGGTAATGTGTTTTTGCTTTCGATATTCTGCCCAGTGTTATCAATGCAAAACTTTTATCAATAAGACCTTATTAGTTCATCTTTACGCATATATGTCTTGCTGAGCCATTGCAATAATCAGTTTAAAAATGGTTTGAATGAAATTTTAATGAATAGAATTTATTACATATGGGAAGATTTTCATCTAGTCTATTTCGTATTATTAAATATTTACTTCCTCAAAATTCTAAATTTTCTCCTTAGTATACACATTACTAGTGTCCAATTGATACTGACTGTTTGTTTATTCACTGGTTAATTGTCAACCTACTTGACTTTTAACCTAAATGCGAATCTAATTTATACCAGATTGATACAATTTCCTGCTGAAACTCATTAATCCGGCAGTTTTAGTGTTGATGGATAATAATTGTAGCTGAAATTAAGGATGTTTCTTAGATCCAACCGAGGTGTGTTAGCTGGAACATTTATTCCTTTAGGTCCTATTGTGCCAACAGGTCGTTTGGGGAACAGTAAGACTTAAAGCAGCAAATTAAGGTCCAAGGGCGAAATAATGCTGCTGACTGTACAGATGTGACGACAGTAAGCTGTTTCTCTAAGGGAACCAGAAACTGCAGAGATGCTGCCCTTTTAAAGTCATCACTAAACATTACTTCTATTCTCAATATTGACCCTCATCTACCTTTGCTTCAATGTATGTCCCAACGCTAATAATTCTAGTTCACAAAATGCCAACCCAAGTCCCCTGAAACTGCTCTCCGAACTACATTTTTATAGCTTTCACTTTTCGGACCGCATGTCGAATCGAGCAACAGGCATCATTAACTAAGACCCTGGAATCTCTTGATATCGGTATATACTGTCTCCGAGATACACATATAGCGTTCTAACATGGTTTCCCACTTGACGTCACGTAGCCTGAAAGCTAGATAGGGACTTCTTGACCAGATTCCTATCAAAAGTCGTTTATGTGCTGCTGGTCTCAATGGTACAATAAGAATTCGGAGATATAAAGACATGCCGTTCCCTCTTTATTGTTTCTGCCTACACCTCCACTAATTGCAGCCCAGATGGAGTAAAAAAAGTTTTACAGGATAATGTACGACCCTTAGAAAGTCAGAAGTAATAGTACCAGGCAGGTTTAACGTCTAGGTCTGTAGACCAGGTCGAACTGAAAAATATTGAGATGTCAGCCTAAGATGACCGCTTATTACTAGCAATAGCAACACTGTCTAGTTTAGCGTGCCTCAACATCAAAACAACGATGTACACAACTAGATCATATCGCTGTCAGCCATTAGAGAAGCTCGATAGAAGGCTACAACTTACCGAAGTACATGCTTGACCAAGCCCTAATGAGAGCAAACATTTCTGTTTTTATGGTATGATGTGGTCTGTTTGGTTTATTATTAACCCAGTATGCTTGAAATACATGATTCATATCACAGAGGCTGAGATTGGTGTTCTGGACTCAACAGGCAGGTCTAGGCAGTAAGAAGGACGGATAAGGACTCCAGACTGCTCGTACGGGTTTACGTGTCATTGGTCCGGTCGATAAATCACTGCCATTTAATTGGCAGAATCATTATGTTATATGTTGGTAGGGGCACAAAGCGACAAGTTATAACATACTGGCGCCGATATATTCACGCTTCATTCTCTCGACCTTGAATTTCAATATCCATTCATACATAACTTTCTACTCTTTCCTTGTAAATCATATTCCCAAGGTTTTACTTTTTGTCATTGCTACTACATTATTTCAATCTCTTTTGTTATTTTCATCTCGTGCTAATCAGGTTTGGCAACGCGTATCTATCACAGGCTCTGTGTAGATGATCTCGTTTAATGTTTATCGAGTAAAGTTTAACAACTTATTGCTCATGAAACATGTGAATCACGCATATCTATGACCACTCACTGTTACATATATTTATTTGCGTTTTAAAATATTCAATACAACACAATGTTAGTGCGCCACAAATAAATTTAAGAAATAATCTTATCTATTTTGTGCGTTGAATGAGTATAACGGTCGTCTTGTGGGTCCTTATTACTAATTCTTTTAACGTACCCAAATTAGGAACCTACATTTTGTCTCGATTTGTTGGGACACTGGAGGGATTTCTTTCAAAATTCTTGCGCATTTGATGTTATACTTGAAACAAGCTGGTTGAGCGCCATACGCCGCACTATCGTTAACGAATGGAATCCTCGAGACTGCGAACCTCTCTTGGAGGTTCTCGAAGCCTGGCAACCTTTGTTACCGGATGATATGTTGCAGCGCAAAATACTCGACCAACTGATTCTTCCAAAATTGCAGGTTCGTTGAATTTAGATTTCGATAGCTTCCTCTGCCATTGTTCGTCGATATTGCACATTTACTACAATTGTCATAAGTATTTAATACTTGCTGTTTAGTTTTAATTAGTTATTTTACCTTATTTTCAGTGAACTGCTTATCAGTAGCCTAAAATAAAAGGTATCCAAAGGCCACTTTCAGTTTGCGGTTATTTGTATATTGCTATATTTTATATTTAATCAGTCGTGAGCATATGCGCAGTGGATCCAAGTTATCACACTATAAATTTATGACGTGTATTGATTCCATAAAGTAAAACTTTATTTAAATAGAGAGATTTTAAAGAATCAGTCTGTCTTGGTCTTAATTTTACTTTTGTCTAAAAACGATCCTTTCCATCTCAGTTTTACTACTTGGTATAATTACATAGTTTACCTACTCAACTTCGAAATTCCTGGGTAATTCACATTATAACGTTATAAAAGGAGTAGACTTTAACAAAACAAACCCAGGTATCATAGAACTTCAAGACTCAATATTTTGTAAAAAAATGTATTCAGTACTCCTGGTGTTTCTGTCAACCAAGATCTGTAGTTGTTGGTTTTTACATTTTTCTCCGGGAAACTACAGATATGCATACAAATTTATTCAGCAGATACCAATGTCACAATCATCTTCGTTAACTTGGTTCGAAGTTTTCTTGACTAATTTAATTCGGTTAACGCTAAACTTCATATATTAGTGCATGTTTGATTCACAGCTAAGGTAAATGTTGAGTGTACTTTTGTATTGTATGTGGTATTTATTAAAGCGCTTGACTTGTAAATAGTGAGTCTTATTTTTTTTAAGACAAAGTAGTGACACAATATCACTTACTAACTTCTCGAATGATTCCGTAATTCCTTCTTACTATGTTATTTCTAAACACGTCCAACTTTTAGGATGCTGTTTCCTCATGGAATCCGTTAACTGATACAGTACCTGTTCATACTTGGTTGCATCCCTGGCTACCTTGGTTTGGAGGAGTTGAACGTCTCGCGTGTTTGCATGATATGGTTCTCCAGAAGTTAGGAAGTTGCCTTACCAACTGGCATCCTAGTGATGCATCTGCCCGCTCAGTCCTAATGCCTTGGCGAACCATATTCCCGGTCACGTCCATGGCAGCTTTCTTAAGTCGCCATGTGGTGCCGAAACTTGCTTTAGCGTTGCAACAGTTTCAAGTTAGTTTTTACTCGTTTATTTACAATAGTTTGGCCTTAACAAGCTTTTTAATTTGATCGCTAAATATCACCTGTTAACTGGTCAATGCATTCACAGAATCTTTTTCTTAGTTGGCTCCTAATAAACCCAGTGCGGTGGTATACTTCTCATTTCATTGTAAGTAATAGATTGACTACTCTCTTTATAATTCCTTTGTGGTGCAAGTAATTTATTATCAGCTTTTAAAATAAGTGTTGTCCTTAAGTTTAATGTCTTAAGTATTTATTATCGTTTTTTATAACAGTATATTTTAGTTTACATAAACCTTCACCAAAATCTAAACGAACGCTTACACTGATAAATTATGATCGCCAAATATGTGATATTCGGAATAACATTATTTATGAAGATCTGAATAAAAGACGAACTTTGTTTACTGGGAATCTCTTGGTTGTATTCCTAACTGAATTATATCTCTTATTATATTCTTGTTCACTTTCCTATATGAACTTTATCCCTTATTTATGTGGCGCATGAATTTCTGGTGCTTGAATATACCATATTTTGTGTACCAAATATGGCATGAATTTCTCTGAAGATTACTGATAAAATATTTGTGACTGTTTAACTTCAATTGCTGAGGTTTCTGCATACATAACTCCATTTTACGTATTAATTATCGTTAGGAACTAAACACATGCATCGTTTGACACCCTTTCTTAGTATGTGATTGAAACATACGAAAAGGAAATCCTATGATAATCAGATGTCGTCTACTTGGACACGATAAAAATATCTCGGACACGCAGTAATATGAATAAATTATCAACGCTGCGTGTATGCTAAGCTACAAATAGTAGGTATAAGAAAATCCTGCTCAGTCTGGCAAGTGTATACAAGCCTAGTACATTTTATGTTATGATAGAATGTAGTCCTACACATAATTTCGAAAATACTGACAACAAAACAGTTGATTGGAAGCTAAAACTTACAAATGGACTGACAATACCTTTTTTACTGACATTTTAATTATTACTGTTGTTGCACCTCTCAACTAAATCCTAGGGGTTTTTCACATAATATACAGTTTAGGGACTAATATGTTAGGTATTCATTTATGATCATACCTCTGATGTCGAGTTTCTATGCAATATTTTTTTCGAAAAAATTCTAATATTTAGCTTAATCCCGCTAAGCAAAACATGGATCCGTGGAATTGGGTGATGCGTTGGGCAGACTTGATTGGTCCGGCTGTACTTGTAAACCTACTTGAACATCATTTCTGGTCACGTTGGCTGTCAGTCCTTTCAAGTTGGCTGAATCAGGGGGTAGAAGCTAGGCAACGTGGAGACCACACTGCTGCCGGTCAAGTTTATCAAGAAGTTGGCCGTTGGTATGCTGGTTGGAAAGGTCAGTTACCTCCTGAGTGTATGGAATATGCAAGTGTCAAAGATGCTTTGACAAAAGCTTTGGCAATGATGGAACGTTCAATGAGAGGGTTACCGCCTCAAGTAAGTTATTATGAGTTTGGATTCCTTGAGATGTCATTTTAAATACTGTTTGCTGAGTTACTTAGGTGGCTTCTTAACCATAAGTTCTTCTTAATTGTAAATTCACAAAGTTCAGGTGGATATGCGATGCAAGAATTCCATTAAAAAGTAGGGAAACTCAAAATACCATTACCTAAACTCTAATGGCTTTCAAAAATTTAGATAAATGTTGTTTGTCAAGTAAAATAATTCATTTAATTTAACCATGGATCTCTCACTCCTGACATAATTTTAAATCAATTATAAGATCGCAAAATGTATCAATTACATCCACAATGATTACGTAACGAGGCTTTCTGCGATGCAAATGTGTAACTTCTAATTATACGTACGCATTTCCTAAATGTCAGGAAACACGTAATCTAAGAGTACGTAACTTACAAAGTAATTACTGTTTGCTAAGTCATTTTGCTAAACAATACTGCTGACATCTCCCAAGAGTACCAGATAATGGTAGTAGTCTAGTCTGGAAAAAAATCATATATTATTTGTAGACTTAAGATAAACTTCTAACTTGCTTTAAGTCTTGTGTACTTCTGGGAATCCGCACTTTATTTAGGAACCTCAGGTCTCAAAGCAAGGTCAGTCAGATGTGTCAAGGTATCCTACTGGCTCATCAGGCGTACTTCCGCCAGCTTTTGGATCATCAACACCTTTGGTTGCTCCTCCTCCGACAACACTACGTAAACAAGTTGAACAAGTAGCAGCGCAGCGCGGCTTCTTATTCCATCCTATTTCAAACAGGATGTTCGAAGGTCAACAAGTATACAGACTGGAATCATTACAAGTGTTTTTCGACCGCAACGTCAGTTATGTGTACAATCCCAGTGATGGTGGCTGGCTTCCTGTTACATTTGCTGAGTTGATGACCCGTGCTCAGTACTGACTTAATCTTTTGACTTTGTAAATTTCTTTTTCAAACATTACTTCTCACAAGGTTATTGTATATAGTTACTTCCAGATTTTCTTTGTAATTTCTCCTGAGTGATATAAAAAGAAAATTGCGATGAGTTTTTATATTTTTCGGGATTTTGTCTACTGTTGTCGTAGAGTGTACCTCTTTAGACTGCGCTAAAATACAGATGAAAGCAGTTCTGTCATAAACAAGATTTAAGAATATTATCAAAACAAAATATGTTCACTCATGTCGTTCGGAGGTATGTAAATCAAGTCCCAAGACTTGTTCGTAACAGAAAGTCGAAATTACGTGTTTAAACACTATTAAAGAATTACGAGCCATGTAGTTTGCGTATGGGCTTATATATATGCGTCCAGAAGTCCATATTCGATTTATCTACTGTGTAAGGTAATTTCACACCGGCGAAAGCATTTGAGCAGCATACTAACCGTCTCTCGCAAACACGGACCGACAAACCACTTAGTTATGTTATGCTGAGTTGTAAGCAGCATATCTAGCTGTTCTGATGGATCGTACCGTAAACTATTGAGCATACTCGCTTTCACGACGCTCCAACATAAGCGAAAATGGGTAGATACGAAATATGCTAGGAGGAGAGCTTTATTTATTAAGAAATATTTCGAATGCCCATGCATTGATACGCCTAATTACAATCAAAGTAAGATCTTATACCACAAGTTCCGTAGAGAATGAAGCTAGTAGCAATGGGATGAAAGTAGATTACTATATTTCTGGATACAATAATTTTTTCAAGTGTTCAGAGTGGACAAATAGTAAGGCTTAGTTAGCGTTGTTACTGGTTGTGATATTTGTTTGATGCCATAGTTTGACGCCTCTGACACAAGCCTATTGTTGACTTCTGTCAACAGTTCAAGAATGTGAAGCCTGTGCCCATGCAACCTTGTTACCTCGACAAACACCTTTACATACCAACTCCCCTCTATTTCAGACCGCCAAGATACAAATCCAGGTAAGGTAGAATACACAATTACACAGTCACTCATATGTGGCAGCGACAGCCAAGAGCTGGGATCTAATGAAACTTCACAAAAGTTTGATGGTAGAGAGTCTAGAAAATCACGCTTTACAAGAGCATTATGATTACGTTCTTCACCTCTACAGGCTTGTATAAGTATGAGTTTAGGTTTTCCAGCTAGAAGAGGGCATTTTTTGTTAGTAAAACAACTAACAAGTTCGTCAATGCTAACATGGGTGCCGTCACTTGCTATAATATGATGTTCTAACCCATGTGCTAAAATAATAAGGACAGCCGCATGTACGTTACTATGCTCTGGTTTGCAAGCGAATTCTCGCACTACTTTTTTCAGCTTTTCACCCTCTAGATTTTTAATGACAGCAACACTATACATAAAGTCCTCAAATAGAATTTGGAGTTTAGATGCATCGTGTGACGAACCATGACGATTAGGTACTCCGGATTCACAACTGTAATCTTCTATATTTATTATGAGAACGTAACCACGCGGGAACGAAGTTACAGTGTAGGGTGTCAACGGATGTGAGCTAACTCTATCTGGGATCATAATGGATTCATCTCTTGTATCAGATAAGCGTTCTGATGATATACCATGACCAGCTAGGACTTTTAGTTCCTCTGTTTCGTTCAAACGATCATATATACTCTTTTGGTTGGTTTCTAGAAGAGCTTGCTTAAACTTGTCATATGCTGATGGGCCACATCTGACTATAATATCTAAGAATCGACGTATCTTTTCAGCTAATGTTGTTCCAGAGAGTATTGAGTGCCGTTGATTTTCAGTAATAATTAGTGCGGATTCCAGTATATCGAGGATTTCTTCAAGGTTGGAAATATTTTTTACAAGAAAAACACGCAGCTTCCTAATGACGTCGCGATGTTCCTTCTCCATATGAATACAGAAAAATGCGTCCAACAAACGAATTGGTAAGGGGAATGTTGAGAAGACACAGAGACCAAGTGACAACAGTATTTCTGATTACGCGTAGGAAATTAACCTAAGACAGAAAAAGTGAATGTTTTGGAATAAATCAAATACAGTGAACTTTCATGTAAATGTTGACAATTAGAATATCTCCCAATGTCTAACATTCTTATTTTAACACGTGAGTTAGTCAATTCAATTATACTTCGACTGCTAAATTGTGTGATGTAATGATCGTAAAATCAAATAACCGCAATAAAGCACAATGAGGACAAATACAAAAAAGCGAAGAAGTGCTACAAGTTCTTAGTAGAATATGGAGATTGTTATCATTTAATGACACAGTGAGGACTAACCATGTTTTCACGGACAATGAAACATTCCTCATATATTGTGATGATTTGAGTTAACAAAATGCAGAAATTATTCGAGTAAGAGGAATCCGACCATTAAAAAATTTAGCAGCTTTAGCCCCTACTCTGAAAAGGTCCAAGTTAACTGCATGAGCTTTGATTTGTCCTCGAGTACAGCTAGTAATAAAATTTTACAGACCGAGATTAAATCGTCTAGAAAACATAAGGCTACGTCTGCAGATTATTTTAACATTATAAGTAGCTTTACTCAGTGTTATGTGATGTAGAGTCAAAAATTACTGTAGTTTTCAGCCAACACAAGGATGTTAGCATCTTTAGATACGTTTGAGGTAGGATTGGTTCCTTATGGTACTATGAATTGTGAGCGCTGATACAGACCTGTTTTTCCTTGATTTATTTCATGTAGTTATTACATAGAATAATCTCAATATCTTCGAAAACTAAGACCAAATTACTTATACATGGAGCATTGTTTATTGGGATTCACCACCAAAAAAATCATTACAAGCACTTTCCGTCGATGTATCGGACGTACGTCACGTTTCATGTGAGATGAATTAATTAATTTACGAAGCACTACGAACCATGAAGATTAGTAGAGGTGACTTGACTTGCTGATTTCACTTTTAAAGTTCACCTAGGCTTCTACCATCAATACTGAAATATCTCTATGCTTATAAGCATAGAGATAGCCACTATAGTGGCTAAAATAGACATTTCCCTTGTTTAATTAGGTAGACCACTGAAGATAAATACTTTTCTGACTTATTCATGGTAATCTACGCATTTCTAGGAGAATTTCGTGAATACTTACAGTGAACTGACCATAATACAAAGTGTGTACATACTTCGACGAACAAGGCAACTAGGTAACCGAACCATTAAGGTTCATAATAACGCCAGAGTGCAAATGTAGTATTGTTACATATTTGAAATCTTTAAATGGTTCAAATGGTTCTAGACGAAATAGAAGAATCTTCTGCTTAACGGGCTTCCATATTTATTAGGAATGTATCACCGATGTCCTCAAATAGGCCCCTAGGTATACTTAACGATAAAAATCGAATTATTAGTAAATTCTAGTGAGATACTGTCCTTCGTCCTTAAGAATATGTCAAGCTTTCTCTTAATGGTTTCCTGAGAGTCATCTGGACTAGCCCGTTCATCAGTTAATTCCAGCACTTGACTACTCTTGAGGAGTAGAAGGTGTGTCTAGTTTTTTCTGCCATATTGTTTTCCGTCTCTGGGTGTTAACCCCCGAGGTTTATTAAGGCTGAGGTTAAGTAAGTATTAAGAAGGATGCACAAAAGTGCTTAGGATGCTGTAAGTCATTAGAAAGTCACTTCCAAGATGTCTATACCCTGATGAGTAAAGGTTAAGTGATTGGAGGCCCCCCTAGTGAGCATTGAATTTGAGTACCCGAACTGATTTCATGGCCCACTGTTGGATACGTTTCAGTGTGTTTTTATCCTTTTGAACTAAGAGAGGAAATACTGCACTTCCATGCCCTAAATGGAGTCAAATAAAACTGTTGAAGATTAAGTGGGAAGTTCTTCAGTCAAACTGGTCAAAATTGCACTCAGGGTTACGAGCGCAAAATTCATTCGAAATGTATTTTCTCAGCAGTTAGAGTAAGAGTCCTCAGTAGTAAGGATGGTGGGTCTTTGGACCCGTGTTAGTTTTTGCTTTATACCTAAATCGTTATTAAAAATATGGAGTGCTGATATAAGGTCACTTCGCGACCTGCGATACAATAAAGGAAAAAGTTTAGGCGTTTTGAGCGCTCTTCTTGAAGTAGCCTGAAGAGACTCTTCACCAACTTTGTTTTTACACGATACGTACGCTCGAGTTTGTTAATATCCTTTATGAGGCATGGACTGGCTGCTTGAACACAGTACTCTTACATAGACGGAATATAAAACCTGCAACATCTCGTCTTACCATATGAATGCTTGGAGAAGTGATCGAGACGCTCAAGAATCTTTCGAAGCTGCTGCGTTGGAATGAGCAGTTGTTTTTAGGTCATGACTTGTTATTGCCCTTAAGTCTTTGTGCTTCTGCACTCATGAGGGCGATGTGCTGTTGGCGGCATATTAGTAGTTTTAATTGAGATCATGAGCCGATCAGTATTAGACCGCACTGGAAGGCCGTCTCGTTCAAGTATGAGACTACATAGAAGTGCGCATCCACGATTCTGCACGCGGAACTCGGATCTGGTACCCTCAGTCTCGCACGTGAACGCTTGTAGTGACCTACTTTTACCAAGAGAACGCGATTGATTTAATTGAAACATTTGTTATTCTAACCAATTGTACCAGTGATTGTTTTATTGTGCTCGTTTGTTTAACTGTGCTAAAGACAGCCGTATTACCCCTTCATTATTTTTCGATTGTGACCTTGCACGGGTTCGGTTACGCTCGGTAACCATGCTTGTACTCCTTTGGCACGATCTCGGTATCCTTTCGATATCCACGAGATCGCCAACAAATACATCTCGACTACAGTCATCAACTGCCTTCTGACATTTGATTTACGGGGGATTTCGTCACTTAATTGGCACGTAGTCTTCTTGTAGTGGTGTTTGTAGTCAAACGCTACTCGGCACCACGCTGCACGCTTAACCTTTAGACCACTGAGCAGGGATCCACGGGTGTTAATGTCTAACTCCAAA